AAACCCCTCCACAAACCTCCTGTAGTACCCGGCCAGGCCTAAGAAACTACGAATCTTAGTAGGAGTGGTAGGTCTAGGCCAATTCTTCATTGCTGCAACCTTCTGAGGATCAACCATAATTACTTCCTTGGAAACGACATGGCCTAAGAACGCGACCGATTCAAGCCAAAATTCACACTTCGAAAATTTTGCATACAATTGATGTTGCTGAAGAGTTTGCAGAACTGCCCTGAGATGGTCGGCATGGTCCTCCCGACTTCGGGAATACACCAGAATGTCGTCAATAAATACTATCACAAAAGAGTCTAAGAAAGGCTTGAAGACTCTATTCATAAGATCCATGAAAGCTGCTGGGGCATTTGTTAGTCCAAAAGATATTACCATAAATTCAAAGTGCCCATACCGGGTTCTGAAGGCTGATTTTGGAATATCCCGCTCCCTTATCTTCAACTGATGATACCCGGACCGCAAGTCAATCTTAGAGAAACACATAGCACCTTGCAATTGATCAAACAAGTCATCTATTCTTGGCAAAGGATATTTGTTTTTGATTGTGACTTTGTTGAGTTGCCGGTAGTCAATACACATCCGCAGCGATCTGTCTTTCTTTCACACAAACAAGACCGGTGCGCCCCATGGCGACACACTCGGCCGGATGAAACCCTTTTCTAGCAAATCCTTCAATTGTTTCTTTAGCTCTTTCAATTCTGTTGGTGCCATCCTGTAAGGTGGAATTGATATAGGCTGTGTGCCTGGCATTACATCAATCCCAAAATCTATCTCCCTATCCAGTGGAATCCCAGGGAGCTCATCTGGAAAGACATCTGGAAATTAATTCACAACTGGTATAGACTCAAGGCTAAGTGCCTCGGCATTGGTGTCCGTAACCCGAACTAGATGATAGATTCACCCCTTCTTGATCATCTTTGCAGCCTTAAGGTAGGAAATAAACCGACCTCTAGGCACTACATTATCTCCCTTCCACTCGATAACGGGCTCATTAGGAAATTCAAGCCTCATAGTTCTGGTCCGACAGTCAAGTTTGGCAAAACATGAATAAAGCCAATCCATCCCCATTATGACATCAAAGTCGACCATCCCTAATTCAATAAGATCGGCCATGGTATCCCTACCCCGCACCGTAACAATGCAACTTCTATAAACTCGAGTAGCCAAAATTGACTCACCAACCAGAGTAGATATCGAGAATGGTTCATGAAGTTGTTCTGGTTCTATCCCAAATTCCATAGCGACAAATGGGGTAACATAGGATAAGGTGGAACCGGGGTCAATAAGTGCACACACATCATGAGATTGGACAGTCAGAATATTTGTATCAACATCTGGAGAAGCCTCTACATTTTGACGGCCACTCATAGCATAAAATCGGCTGGGACCTCCTAAACTCTGCGCACCACCCCTAGCTGCACCACGCCCTGCGGGTGCTGGGGTACCTCGAGCTGGAGAGGGGCTGAAGATGTAGCAGCTGTTGGACTGGAAGGCTGAGCTGTGCCCCTGCCCTCTCCCTGGTGGGATACACGACAATGTCTCTGGATATGACCCCTCATCCCACATCCATAGCATATAGGTAACTCCATGTAGCAAATCCCCGAGTGCATCTTCCCGCACCTGGGGCACGGGGACCTCTGCTGCTGCTGGGACCTGTCTCCTGCTTATTGGATCCCCTGCTGCCCTGACCGGGCCTGAAACGACTCCACTGTTGCTGGTTGGGCCCTGATGGCGGTGCACTAGCTGATGACTGGGCAATAGACTAGGAAGGCACTGATGATCCTCCCATGAAGGCTGATCTTCCCTGTCACACCTCCTTTTTCATACTACACCCGCAAGGGTATAATGAATGGAGTTATTTCCAACTTGAAGTGACAATCAGCACGGGATTTATTATTAATATTCAGAGTCGCCACTTGGGAAATTAATGGTGTCCCAAGCCACCTGTTGAATCCCGAACCGAGGAAATTAGGACTCTGTTAATAGTCAGCGAACCAGAAATCCGAGTAAGGAATTCTGTTAACCCGGGAGAAGGTGTTAGGCATTCCCGGGTTCCGTGGTTCTAGCACGGTCGCTCAACTATTGTATTTGATTTTATCTAATTTCGAAATATGTTATAGCTTATGTGCTTTTAATAATAAACTGCTTCCATTTTTATTTATTTCAATTTGAAATGCGCCTCAAACCACGTCGCACCAGTGCACCCGTGATTGTTAACACATTTCGACTTCGTTGAGATTTGGATTTGAGTCACATAAATGTGCACCCGTATTTAGGAAGGTGATTTTATTTAAAATGCGCGCCTAAAGTAGCTACGCATTTATTAACTATGTGGGGAGCCATGAAATTCGCTAAATGGCACATCCCGAAGTCTAAATATTTTGATATAAGCAATTAACGAGGGCCCCGCAATTTGTGTGTTTTATTCGGCGAGGCTCATCTCGTCTATCATTTATTTTAAAGGGAATCCTAAAGTAAACTATTATTCCTCGGCCCGGGCCCAGGCTCAGGACTCTTACAGCTATTGAAATTTCAGATATTTGTTCAGGCCCAAATTATGCAATTGTTCAGGCCCAGGCTATTGAAAGGACCAGGCCCAGGGTATAATACACGCAAGTCTCGGCTATGAAACTGGGCAATAACTGCCTGGACCTTGCATTTGGGCCCAGAAACATAGCTTAAGTTGAAACAGGATTTGAAATTTAAGTCCAGCAGAGCACTGTGTTATAGCCATTTTCAATCATTTGGTTAACACCTATATTCTGCCCGTTGACGCTCAAAGCCATCCAAAAGGATACGTACACAATTCGAATTTTTAAAAGGCACAATTGAAACACTCAATGTCAAATTCAGAATCCAGTTCACTGGACTATATTTTCTCAGTTATGAATCAACATGCTAAAATTAAGCATGTTATGATTACAATCATGAATCAATTAAAATTTTCTCAGTTATGAATTAACATCTAAGCTAACAAATTTCTCTATGATTACAATTATGTATGCACGTATTACACCTGCTACCTAATTAAGCATGAAAACTGTAGCAGTCGACATTTCATCCTGATGAAGTCCAAAACAGTCTAAACAATTCAATTAACAGTCTGCTATACGTTAAATAAAACAGTCCTAATTACACAGTCTTTGGTTCAATATAATTCAAACAAGTAAGAATAAATATTTCAGATATTCAAATGAACACAAGCTGGAACATCGTTCATTACACTCCAAATTGGTGCTACATCAGTGGGTCAGATCTGTGTACCTGGAATTTGCAAAGGAAAGCAGAAGGATAGAGTCAGCGGTAGTAACAACACTTCTCAGCAGCAGTTCAGGAATGATTTTAAACCAAGACACTTCACAAAACCCAGGAATACATCATAGCAACCAACACCTAATAAGTTGCCCCAACACTGACTTGATTGAATTCAAATCCTACTTGAACCAGGACTCTTCTGAATTTCAGCTACCAGAAATTGGGCTAAGAGATGCAAGTCAACCACTAGAACTTGACATTAACCTAAGAAATTGAGCAAACAATATTTTTTTTTTGGATTTTTTCTGTAATCTCTGTTGTTTTTTGGCTTTTTAAATTTCGAAACTTCTAATTTTAGTTCTAAAAAAAACTGAAAGAATACTTTGGAGGAAACTTTTTAGTGTCCCAGAATTGGTAGAATGCCTTGTTTAGGGGGTTCTAGATGGCTGCTCCAAAAACTCCTTTTTTCCCCCTCCTCCTCAAGGCAAGTGAATGCCTATTTATAGGTGAACTTAAGGTCCAATTTCAGATTTTTTCTTTACCCCTTAGTCCCTATTCTCATTTCAGTGCTTACCCCTTTATTTTCTGACTTGTTACACAAGTAACTATCTTAAGTTTATTAGAAACTACACTATAGTCCATCCTAGAAGGTTCTATGCCCATTACAATCCCTATTCTATCCTTACCCCCCTTCAAAAATTACCAAATCTGATAAAAGTACCCTTTTCCCATGCCTAAACTACCCTTGAAATCCCCTGAAATTACTACCCAAACCCAAAGACTTTAGTCCTCTTTCTACCCTAATAGAATCCATTTGCTATGGCTAAATTCATCTAATTAACAACTAATTGAACCGGGCATTACACTGAAGTATTGTTAACAACAATCACTGATTAACCAAAAGAAGTATATTAAACTGAAACAAACAATACACACAAGATTGATTGAAACTGATCAAAAGAAAATAGGCTAATAAGCAAATTATTGGATTATCAAATCAGCAATGACTGTTAACTACACTAAACAGAGGCAGAAATGCTAATCCCTATGTCAAACTACACTAATTCGACTGAACGTGTCGAGTGACTCCAACAAAATTAAACTAAGTCATAAACATGCATTCCCTAATCAAAATAAATGGAGATTACAAAACAGAATTAAACCAGATGGAGGATCAAGACGAAACAAAACGTTTGACAGGTGAAGAGAACTAAGCTATACAATTAACAGTTATCCGATTTCAGAAACAGTAACTACAGACCTAATCTAAAACCTAACACACTAATTTTAAACTAATCTAATCTTAGCAGCGCAAAAAATCAAACACAAAAGAAGAGGACTCATCTGTACAACTCCCAAAGTCGCATAGCTCTTTAGATTCAAAATTCGACTATCTCTGGTGAGATTTGAATGCTAATGATGACAAATTCTTCATGAGGGAAGTGAAGAGGTCACGTGGTATTAATTTGGTGGGGTTTGGAGAATTTAGGGTTTTGACCGGATTTTCGATCGGATATTTGAGCAATTCCGGCCATGTTCGAGACAAGTGGCTATGGGGGTTGGGTAGGGGATGTTAAGGCGGTTCTGTGGTGTGAGTTTGGGACCGTTTGGCATAACCGGTGACTTGGCCGGAAAATTTTGAACGGATATTCGACAAATTCCAGTAAAATTTGAAAGTAAAGGACAGCGGGTTCAGGTAAAGGAGGAGAAGGGGAATCTGGGGTGTAATTTTGGGGTTAATCGGAGAATTGCCGCTGCCGGCGACGATTTCCGGCCGGCGGCGGATGGCGGAGGACGGCGGCGACACGGTGGGGTGGTGGTGGTAGGGGTGATGTACGAGGAAGACCAGTTTGGTCTCTGATCTATAACGTGTGTTATTACACTTATATTGAGAAGGCTTGGGTGATCCTGGACCGTCATATCATGGGAAATGGACGGATAGGATTGATTGACGCCAAACGACATCGTTTTGCAAAGGGAGGGGGAACTGGACCGGATGGGGTATTGGGCCTGGGGTTTGGTACGTGGGTTGGGGAATTTTTCCTTTTGGGCCAGAATAATTAGCCCAATTCGGGCATAAGACCACCTTCTCCTCCTCTTTATTCAATTTATTTTCATTTTGTATTTTCTTTTTTTTTTTTGTATTTTTTGCATTTATTTATTTTTTCTGATTTTATAAAATGCTAAAACAAAGCAAAGACCTAATTACACTATTTAAGTCCTAAAATTACTTGTAACTCTATTTAAAAACAAATGCAATAATTAGTAATACAATGAACTATTTTCTTGCAATTTCTTATATTTTATTCTAAAACTAATTAATACTAAAACTGTGAAATTAAATCCCTAAATGCCAATGCATATTTTTGGTATTTTCATATGGATTAAAATGCACAAATAAAAAAATGCAACAATTACCAAAGAATGCCACAAAATTCACAAAAAATACTAGAAAAAATTGTTTTGTTTGAAATTTTGGGAATTACCGCTTAGGGCAAAAATCACGTGCTCACATTCCCCCACCTTGTGACTCTCCCATGTTGCCCATCGATCGGGCCTTGCTGTTACCCTCTCTCTCCATTCTGTTCTTCAATTTACGACTCTCTGTGGCCTGAGCAAATGCGACCATCTTCCTGTAGTTCATATTAGAATTCAATGCAGCCGTAGAAGCCTCATTAATGGTTAAAGAATTAAGGCCCTGAACAAATCGGCGCACTCTGGCCTCCATTGTGGGCAACATATGAATGGCATACTTGGACAAGCGAGCAAACTCCATGTGGTACTCCCACACACTCTTGTTACCTTGCTTTAAATTCTCAAACTCTGCTGCACGGGCTGCCCTTGTCTCAGCAGGCAGGAAGTGATCTATGAAGGCATCTGCGAACTCACTCCACCTGGCCGGAGGGCTCCCCTCCTCGCGGGAATCCTCCCATAACTCAAACCATGCATAGGCCACCCCTTTCAGACGGTAGGCAGCCAACTCTACTCCCTCTGTCTCAGTTGCATGCATCACCCTGAGGGTCTTGTGCATCTCATCAATGAAATCCTGGGGGTCTTCTTCTGGATTGGCACCCGAAAATACTGGAGGGTCTAACTGAAGAAATCTGTTCACCCTGGATCTAGTGGAATCCTCTTGCTGGCTAGATGATGAATTGGGTGCAACACCTGACCTCTGGGCCTGAGAGGCCACTAGCTGGGTCAACATCTGAATAGCTCCCCTAAGATCCCCATCAGAAACACCAGAACCAGAAGCTGGGGCTGGAGGCGGAACAGGAGTATCCACGGGAGGGATAGTGGTGCCCTTCGTAGGTGTAGGAGCTGGGGTAGTCTGCTCTGGAATAGAAGGATCCGGCAGAGTAATAGCAGGGCGACTAACCTCACCCGCAACATCAAGCAATGAATCATCAGCCACTCCTGGGGTGGCATTGGCTCCTTGGCCAATTCTCGCTTTCTTCTTAGGTGCCATTTACTGAAAGATAGAACAATGCATTGATTAGGAAGGAAATAGTTTCACCGCATGATCCAGAATATCAAAGAAGGGTGTTATTCCTAAATGCCCAAGTAGCCTCCAACTTATAGATGTGGTCGACTACACACCGATAAGAAGGACTCTACCAGACACGGCTCCGAGACATCCTAGGACACTTTAAAACCTTAGGCTCTGATACCAAGTTTGTCACGCCCCAACCTCAGGAGGCGCGACCGGCGCTCAATCGAGTGACCCCAACTGAGCAAGCCTTACCAAACACTACCTACCCAACTCAATACGAATAAGGGGACCATGCTTTCATTTATTCAACAAAGGAAGATAGTATATTCGACATTTTTAGTTCATTTTAGATTACAACATTAAACTGTAGATAAGTTAGTTTCCAAAGTTTCCGTAAAGTTACAATTCATAGGAAACATAAGATTAGAATTACAACACTGGTAGCACATCCCTTCAACCCCCGCACATGACCCACATATATGTCTACGGAGCCTCTAAGGATACAAAAGATAAATGTGACAATGCCGGCAACAAGGCCCCGGCTATACCTCAAAAGTGAAAGTCCAAAATAAGAAGATGTGCAATATAGCCCCTTGAAGGAGAAAGGGGCTCACCAAGATCTTCGAGAAGAAGGATGCTCCGCTACGCACGATCGACACTATCCGCTATGGAGCCACCTACATTCATTTAAAAATGTAGCGCCCCCGGCAAAAGGGGCGTTAGTACCATGGAATAGTACTAGTAAGTATAACTAAACATCATTTTACTAGAAAGAACTTTCAAGCATGTACAAGAACATTCCATGAGTGAATCAAATATGTAAATCATACAATCTTTCACGTAATTTCCATAACTTAGTTTGGGGTATTTCTTTCATGCGCTCATCGCTGTCCTCGATACCACCGCTATCTTGAGCGGAGTCCGATCACGACCCGATCGGCTAGGTTGCCTTATTGGAGGCATATATCTCAACCACCATTCCATTTCCCTTATCCGAAATTCAACATCAGCACATTACCACCATGTGTGCGGCATGGTGTCCGATCACGACCCGATCGGCTAGGCCGCCTTATCTAGGCGTTCTTCCTTTCTCATTAGTCATCACAACTGAATCTTTATTTCACATATATCACATCAATTCGTTGGCACTTAGGGCCACCATTATCACCTCGTTTCCCCTTTTTCAATATTCATCTTCAAAGTTGTGATCATAGGCATATACAAAAGTAATTCAAGCTGCAAGCATAGGTAAGTGAGCACATAGCTAGCATGAATAATTCTCGGTTTCAATCCCTAGGACAGACAATCCCTAGGACAAACTTGCTCTGATACCAAGTTTGTCACGACCCAAACTAGAGGGCCATGACTAGCACCCGGCCATACTTGTCGAGCACCAACATACATTTTATCTAACCTACTTTATTATCTTTTAGGGCCAACGAGATCAATATAAATGGTAGACATGGATCATGGACAACCAACAATAAAATATGATGGCATGAATATACATAACATGGGATGACCAGACAATCAAGAAACTATATATAAGGTACGAGCTACCACACTACCATGAAAGACTATACAACAAAAATTAGCCGACAAGGCATACAAAACTATACATGAGTCGACACCTGTCTATGAGCCTCTAAAAGAACCTAAGTGCTGCAACATTGGACATACCCATAATGTCTATAACAAAAATGCATACCAAGACCACAACAAGTTTGAAGAAGGGATCTTGTTAATCATCGCTGAACTGGACAGCCTACTGTGGTGGGGGAGCTGCGCCTGCCTGTCTATCAGGACCTGCAGCACGACATGCAGCGTCCACAAATAAAAGGACGTCAGTACGAATAAAATACTGAGTATGTAACCAGGGAACCATAAGTACGAATAGTAATGTAATCAGGGATAGACAATATACAGCCTGTAACATCTGGGTACCTCTGAGGGCTACTGACATGAAATACATTATACATATGTATATATATACATAAACTTTTAAAACATATGCCTCTGTGGGCATCATCATCATCATATCGCACCCGGCTGAAATAGGCTCGGTAAGAACGTACCCGGCCATCATAAGGCTCGGTAGAATAGTACCCGGCCATGTGGAGCTTGGTAAAATCCAACTGATCAGCGGTTGCACAATAGGTGTCATACCCGGCCGTGCATAGCGTGGCTCGGTATAATATAATAGATACATATATATAATGCATGCTGGACTCAATGGAGTAATATTCTAAACCTTTCGGAGTGACGTAAGGTCGGTATCCTCTGTACATGTTATTAGGACTAACTCTCCATCTTGAATCTTATAAGAATCAGGAAGTACCAACAACATTGATAACATAAGAATAAGATAAGCAACATCAACATCAATCGCTCCATAAAAAGGGAAACAATGTAAGTACTGCTAGCTTCTAAGAGTAGAGTGTCTTTGGAAGCTCGTTCATTACATCATATACAACCGAAGTCGTGCAAAAGAAGGAAAGGGATAGCCTCACATACCTTGTATATACTGCCCAACCCCAAGCTATGCAAATGTCACGACTCCTTAGTCTACAATAGGAGAAATGACACTATCGCTAACATTTAAGCATCGTAACTATTATGTACCGACCACAACCTATTTTATGATGAAACGGACAGCACCTCCCCTATTTATATGACTTCCCACAAGTGAAAACAATCACCAAACAGCCCAAACAGCATCAATGTTAATCATATTGAGCCTCCCAAAACAGTCCACCAACCGATAACATTACTACCAAGCCTTTCGATATATATTTCACAAGTTATAGCTTCAATGACTTAGCCACAACTTGGATAATCTTAAATACATGTAGAGTAAGAGGTTCCTTACCTCTATACAGAAAGAACAACTCCAATTTAACCTTAATTGTCCACGAAATATCCCTCCAATGCCGCTACAACAACAAAAAAGCGAAACTAGCAATCAATTAGGGGTTTTCGGTACTAGAATCACTTTAGAAGGCTTGAAATCACCTAGGTTTGATAATAAGAACTTGAGGGAGTATTTACAGAACATAAACCCCTTAAAAAAATCATTCACATGAGCTGGAACAACACAAAAATGAGCAACAACATGAAGAACAATACTAGCGCCACGGGATTCCCGATACTTGATTTGTGTTTTTTGCCCTTTGTTTGGGTCTTGAATCTTGATAGAACCTTGAGAGGGTGTTTCTAGGTTTCTATGGTCTGACTATACTGAAAAAAATGACTTAAAACGGGTTGGAGGCATCATATATATATATGTATATATATATATATATCCAAATGTCTAAAACCGCCTAAGTGGGCCCTATAGAGAGGTGCTTGGCGCTGTCTTGCGAAAAAGCGAATATCTCTCTACTCCGAGATCATATCGACAAACGACTTAATGTGTTGAAAACTAGACTCATAGATATTCAATGTGGTGGGTATATAACCCCGTTATTCCAAGTAATTTGGGAGAAAATCTGAGTAACATTTGACCTAATGTTTAAGTGTAATTATGAACCTAAGTTGCGACAACTTTTGTTGACTTTTGTTTCATAACTCGTTTGACTTCAAGACTTATGATACAGATATTATATGATTCAAATACCTTAAAACACGACCTTTTGAGTGTATTAAGAACTTCTAGGTTTACCCAAAAATACAACTGACAACATCCTTGATTCGTTTAACTTCTAATACTTGTTAACCACCCTTATACACCTTTTATCATTTAAGCCCAATAGGATTAACTTCTTATCATCTCAAAGTTATTATTTTCATGGATTTACGTCGACTACCTTATGGCATGAACTAATGTACGTGAATATTGGGTTTAACATGCGAAGACTGGGCTGAGCAGGCCTTGGTCGCAAATGTGACCTTCCCTCGCAATTGCGATATCTCAAATGTGACATGTCCCTCACAAATGCGAAGGTGACAGTACTTCCCAATGGTCACAAAAATGCGACAAATTCTTCGCATTTGCGAAGATAGCAGGTTCCATAGGGGTTCGCAATTGCGAACCCTAGTCGCAATTGCGACATCTGCGATCTGCTAAATCATAACTTAGCCGAAAATCTTTTGTTTTTCAAACTCTCTCAAACCCTAAGCTCTCTTGGGCGATTTTCCAAAGAAAATTTCTTCTCCATATCGATTGTAATTCATTTATAACTATAGCATGTTTTTACATGATTTCAACTCAAAATCAAGGGTTTTCATGGGGAAATTGGGTGTTTTTGGTAGAACTTAGGATTTTCAAAATTTGGGGATTTGGACCTTGATTTGAGGTCCGATTTCAAAACAAACTATATATTTGAATTCGTGGGTGAATGGGTAATCGGGTTTTGGTTCAAACCTTGGGTTTTGACCATGTGGGCCCGGGGTCGATTTTGACTTTTTGGGGAAATCATTTGAAAACCTATTAGAATTGATTTATTTAGCATTTATTAATATTATTAAGTAAATTGTGGCTAGATACAAGAGAATTGGTGGTGGAAACAAGAGGTAAAGCGGTAGTTGAGCCTTGAATTGTATTCATGGCATCGAGGTAAGTGTTTGGTCTAACTTTAGCTTGAGCGATTAGGAGTTGTGTCCTATTTGCTATGTGTTAATTATGGAGTACGACGTATAGGTATGGTGACGAGTATCTATACGTCGGTGTCAAGCATGCCCGTGAGTCTTGTATTGTAACTGTTTTGACTCCGTTGTGATTTATTCATGCTTAGTATGATAATTATCATTGTTGTTTCCCTTGCCGGGATGTTATTGTTTATGACTTTGTCTCCCTTGCCGGTTATTGTTTATGATATTGTCTCCCTTGCCGGGATGTTGTTGTTATACTCTTGTTCCCTTGTCGAGATTCTTTTATGCTTGATGTTGAATTGTATTTGGGATCGGGTTGCACGCCGCAACAGTATTTTATGAAATGGGATTGGCTTGTATGCCACAACGGTATTATATGAAATGGG